ACAATCTAATTGAAAATTCTGGCGGTTCAGATAAAATACTACAACTTTTGTATTTACACCGTTCACCTATCACCTGTAATTACGGCTGTAGGTGGGTGTCAAAATATGGTGACTCACCCTGTACAAAATATAAGCAGCGACGAAATCGAAATATCTCTACAGTAGCCCAAATGAATAATTCGGCACGCGCCTATAGGTTTAATTATTGGGGTGGGCTACTTATGTCTTCCCAGGAACGATGTAGGTGCACCTGTTGACTAGACTACGCGATATCTATAACATAACCAGTGTCATCCCAATTTATATGTATATTATTTGCTATTTTATTCCACGTACTATTTAGTTGTGTTGTTTGATATTGATTATAACCATTTGAAGAACGCCCATGTCCTTTATTTGTTTGATGTATGCCGACTAAATGTTTTTTAAGTGTTTCAAGTCGGAATAAAAATACTATACATAGTTATTCATACCACTTTCGAAAATGGTGAATTCACAATTTGACGTTTAAATAAAAATACCTAAAAAGGCGTATTTTTTGAACGGAGGACCTGTAATGGGCCCGCGGACATTTTGGCACACAGGCCCGGAGCTGGGTTGATACGCCACTGTAAGGCGTACGTTCGTCAACTCTCGAGTCGGCAGGGCCTGCGAGTGACGTCACTACTAATTAGCAGCACAAACAGCTTATAATGATGACGTAACCCGCAGGCCTCGATGGGATGCTTGCGATTCAGGTTGTGCTTATTTTTTCGTCAATTTTAAATGTAGAAAAGGTGATTTTAACAAGATTATAACGATTACTGTGACCTGTGACTGTTTTAAAACTCGGCTAATGCATTTTACGCCAAGTGTTGAGGTGTTCGGCTGAGATGGCAGACATTTTCAGCTCAAGAAGCAGTCCTATTAGGTTGAGTGTTCTTGGGCACAGGCAACTACGATGCTGCTTTCGGTTTCCTGGGATTACCTCAAACATAATAGTGTCGACAGGTACTTCCCATTTTTTATTCCAAAGCAGTAAAATAAAAACAAATTCCCCCCCTAAATTTTTCTGGCCCAGTCTGCCCCCCCCCCCCCCCCTAACATAGAACCCTGGCGTCGCCACTGCATTTGTTTAGGTAATTTTCTAATGGCCGGTATTATAAAACACTGAATTGATGATTGAGTTTCAACCTTGGGTTGACTCCATGCAAATTGATAGGATTCAACCGAAGGTTGGAACTCTACCATCGGTTCAGTGTTTCATAATCCCGGCCCTAAGTCAAGTGAAATTCAATTTCGTTGAATGTAATGAAAATGTCAGCCAATTTTTCAAAGTACCTAACTAATTTTGAAAAAATGGAAAAAAGCAATACGAATACGAACTCTCTTTAACTGCTTCCTTGTTCAAAAGACTATTTCTAGGGGGGGGCAAATACCCCCCTTTGCCCCCCCCCCCCCCCAAACGACGAGCATGACTGTGTCTAATCTTTTATGCTATGAACAGTTCTTATTGGAAGGTCTCGAGAATGGGAGTCAAGTGGACTGAGCTTACACTGATTTCTCAAAGGCTTTCGACAGTGTTGATCATGGTACCTATCCTAATAAAAAAGCTTCAAGCCATTGGGATTTTTGAAGGTTTTCTTGATTGGTTTCAGAGTAATCTCAGTGGACGGAAACAGGCGGTAAAAATCAAACATTATATTTCCTCTGAAAAATTGGTTACATCGGGTGTTCCGCAAGGTGGCCATCTTTCGGCTTTCCTGTTTAATTGCTTTATAAATGATGTAAAGGATGTTTTCCGTGTATGACGGTTTCTTGCCTTCGCTGATGATCTGAAGCCCGTCATGGTACGTCAGGGAAGTTAGCAACACATTGGAGGCAGAATTTTTAGGATGCACCTCTGCTTGTGCTGCTATATTACTGCTTCGTCCTGCTTTAAACCGCAACCCAGCAACACCCATCGTTTTCGAAATATATCGATTTCCATTTTGGTTGCTAACTTCACCCTTGGCAACACATTGGAAGCAGGATCGCTGAAACAGGTTCCTGCTTGTGCTGCTATGGTCCGGTCTCATCCTGCTTCAACTCTGATCCCGGCAACACGTACTATTTTCGAGATACAGCAATTTTTATTTTAGTTGCTTACTTCACCCTTGGCAACACACTGAAAGCAGGATCGCTCAAACATGTTCCTGCTTGTGTTGCTATATGGTCCTGCCTCATACTGCTTTAAATCACACCCCGGCAACACTTACTAGTTATTATCGAGGTATAGGGATTTCCATTATGGTTGATAACTTCACCCTTGGCTTGACAACACATTGGAAGCAGGATCGCTCCAAAATGTTCCTGCTTGCGTTGCTATGGTCCTGCCTCAAAATGCTTCAATCATCCCAGCAGCAGCTAATATTTTTGAGATACACACTGGTAGCATTACAAGAGTCTAGTTGTAAGAATACGGCGAGCTCGAGACACCGTTCCCAAATGTATCGTAATGAGTGCTTGTCTCTGTGAGTTGGTATTTTCGACGAAAAGATCTAACCCAAACTAACCCGTACTTTTGTAATGAATGCTAGTTTTTGTATGTTGGTATTTTAAACGAGAAGAGCCAATCTAAGCTGACCCGTCCTCATACTAAGTGCTAGTTTTTGTATGTTGATATTTCAGACAAAAAGAGCTATTCCAAAGTAACCCGTCCTCCTCATACTTAGTGCTACTCTTTGTATGTTGGTATTTTAGACGAAAAGTACTAATCCAAGCTAGCCCAAACTACCCCGTCCTCATACTAATTGTTAGTCTTTGTATGTTAATATTTTAGACGGCAAGAGTTATTGCAAACTAACCCGTCCTCGTAATGAATGCTATTTTTTTTATGTCGGTTATTAAGACGAAAAGAGCTAATCCAAGGATTGATTAAAACTAACCCGTCCTCCTAATAATCTTTAAGAAAAAAATAAAAATAAAAACCCTGCGGAAGCGCAGAGATGCCAACCTTCCCCAGGATGGGTTAGTTTCAATGCAATCCTTTGATTAGCTGTTTTCATCTAAAATACCAATACACAGAGGCTCGCGTTCATTAAAGAGGGACGGGTTAGATTGGGTTATATTTTCGTCTAAAATACCAACATACAGAGACGAGCACTCATTACGATATATTTGGCAACGGTGTCTCGAGCTCTCCCTATTCCTACGACTAGACTCTTAAAATGCTACCAGTGTGTATCTCAAAAATAGTACGTGTTGCCAAAATGTGTTCCCACGCCAAGAGGGAAGTCACGAACCATAATGAAAATCCCAGTATCTCGAAAATAGTACGTGTTGCCGGGGTCAGATTTGAAGCAGGATAAGGCAGGACCATAGCAGCACAAGCAGCAGCATGTTTCAGCGATCCTGCTTCGAATGTATTGCTAACTTCCCCGACATCGTCATGGTTATCAAATCATAAGATGACTGTAGGTTGCTACAGGAGGATTTTGACAGGTTGATTATAGTGTAAGAGCAATCATTTGACATTGAATGCAAGGTCATTTCCTTGAGTAGATCGAGGAATCCCTTTTTGTTCAATTATTCCCTGAACTTGTGAGACAGGTTTAATAAATATTTTGATTTTTTTTGTAAGGTCAATTAGTTTAATAAAAGTTGTAATTGGTAGTGAAGAGAGTTTGAGTAAACCCGCGGAATCTGTGAAAATTTGGTGTTAGAAGTGGAAGAATTACTTAGACAATTTGTTTTGAGCTAAATAAGTGGGAGCAATAGATGAACTTTTGTTGAACTGAAATAGTTAGTTACTTTATTACTTTGACATCGAAAAACAAGACCACAGATTGATTTTTCCAGAACGTGTTCTATTTGAGAAATAGACGAGGTACGTGAATTTCGACTTCGCCTTCGCATCTTAATATCTGAAATCAAATTTCAAGAAATATGCAGATGGTGAATATGTATACGACAGCAAAGGAGCTCGCACGGATCTTATGAGAAAAAATAAATTTCACGATTGTCATGAAATTGAAATATGTTATGCTTCTCGACCTCCTGAACGTAAGTTCTCGTAGGCTCAAAAAGATCCTATGATTAATTTCTGAGATACAGGGCCGGGTAAACATAAAAATTTTGACAAAAAAATAAACATTTCAAAATATGTTGAGTTTAGGCAGTGACATATTCTAGGTTAAAAACAGGTAAAAAAAGTCAAAATAATGTCATTCGAAGCTTTATAGGTTAAAAGCTGGTCGAAAAATGCCAAAAATATGTCATTTTTGGTTATGAATTAAATTAATGACCAGGTGACGAGTCGCTTTCGGGTGTTCCTAGAACACTTCACACCTGTCAGTGACCTGTCATACTACAAGCGTTTTGCATTCGAACGCTTGAAACCGAACGCTTCAAACTGTAGCCGGAGTACTTCCGAGTAGCTCAGGAGCGCTCGAAGGGTGGCACCCGAAAGCAGCTCAGGAGATTTTTCTTATGCTAATTTTCAATTTTATTGGTCCTATATCTCCGAAACTAATCATAGGATCTTTTTGAGCCTACGAGAACTTACGTTCGGGAGGTCGAGAAGCATAACATATTTCAATTTCATGACAATCGTGAAATTTATTTTTTCTCATAAGATCCGTGCGTGGTCCTTTGATGGAAAATATCGAAGAAAAGGGACAATTTCCTGGTTCAGGAAATTTCACATAAATATAATTAGTATTCACGTTAATATAATATTGAAAAACTATACGTAAATGTTATAATAATGTAAACGATAATACTTAATAGTTAATAATAATATCACATAAATGTTAGATAAATGTGACTTTAATTTACGTACCTATATCTCACATCATTTAATTTATATCTACTTATACGAGAAAAGGAGAAACGTTCAATAAAATTTAGTTTACTTCCTCGGGCACTATACGGATTTAAAGTAAATTTTCCTCAATATGCGAAAGCCTTACCTTGCTCATAAAATGCTCATTTTCTCAAAATTAGCTCAAGTATTAGTATTAAAAAAAGTCCCTACTTACATTCAGCTAAATCTTGCAACTGTTGAAACTCCTGCGGAGAAAGTTTCTCCCATTGCAGTGCTGACATCGCTTCTTTCGAAGTTAGAATGATTGAATTTTATGGCTCAAGTCGGTTGCGACATCTGGAACAATTTAAAATAACTATTACTAGATATTATTCCAAAACTTGTTTTGCTATATTAATAAATGTCAGGCATGACAGAGTATATTTACCAAGCAGGGGAGGAGAAAAACTCCGAACCAAAATTAAATAAACCGAATAATACAATAATGGGAAAAACAAACAAAAAATTGTTATTCCGCCAGAGTACTCCCTTAATTTATGATATTTGCTCTCGGGCGGAACGTTTTCTATGGATGATAATACAATTATGGATTGGCGTTCATTTATCAGCTATAAGCGAGAAAATGTACAAAAGTGAAGTGTGGGTTTTATGCTCCCGGAGAGGATAAAATTAATAAGTGGAAATCCGGCTCGGCTTAATTAGATTCGGATTAAGATAAAAGGAAATTGGAAAAACAAGCATGATGGACGTAGAATAGAAAATTGCTATTGTTGTTGCCAATTTTTTAAAAATCATCACTTCATGTTTATCAGAATGGAATAATCAAACTAGATTCTGTATAATTCCATGTTTAATCATTGTTCTTTTGTATCAATAGCTCTGTTCCAACAGACACGAGAACCGTTCTAGAACCAGTAATTTCCAGTTACCCACCAAGTTGAACGCTTATCCTAATTGGAAAATTAACTGGTAGATCTGTTTTAAGTGACCCAGAAGCTATAACTGTGGTCAAGAATGGCAATGTACGGCTGCTCAGCACCACATTTACAGATCTCCCTGGAATTGATTGATTACCAGCCAAAATTATATTGAAGACTAAAAATAGGGTTCAGATTCTTCTTCACCATATTGGATATGTGATATGTGCGAACAATGGTGATTATGATGGTGATGTTTTTGTGGACAAACGCCAATCATTTCAACGACTCAGGAAATATATTATACCTAGCTGTGTGACAGTCACCAGTGCTGCCATAATTCCAATATTGAATACCTATGTCACAAAATACATTGTTTTTTAATAAAGATCAGACGTTTGTGCGAGGTGTTCCATGCAAGCGTGAAGACGAGAGTAAACAGGTGAGCATTATTTAATAAAGTTAATTTAGTAGATTTGCCCAAATTGACCTTGTGACTTTAAAAATCAGGTTTCAACAAATTTACTCCAGAACGATGCTCAAAAACTCTTATTATTGAATAAATATCGTGACTGTTTTGCTCAGAATGTTAATGAATTGGGTAAAATTAAGGGTGGAGAAATGAATATAAATATAACGGACGAGAGGCCTGTGACGTACAGACCTTATCATTTATCATTCAGTGAGAGGGAAAAAGTGCGAGAGATAGTGAACAGCCATCTATCTGCTGATATAATCCAAGATTCAAATTCTCCATACGCTAGTCCCATTATCCTTGTGAAAAAGAAAAACAACGAGACGAGAATGTGTGTGGATTTTCATGCTTTAAATTCGAAAACAATCAAAGACATTTACCACTTGCCTCACACCTCGAAGTTCTATACTTAAGGGATGGAAATTATCCACTACTAATGGATACCATCAGATTCCCGTGGGCAATATGAGTATCTCCGTATGCCATTCGGTTTAGTTAACGTTCCAGTAATGTTCCAGAGAACCATATATAAAATATTGGGCGCTATGCGATATTCTACTGCGATGGCCTATATGGATGATGTTTTGGTGCCATCTACAAACTAATTCCGGTTTGATTGCTCTTGCAAAATCAGGTGTTACTTTAATTTATCTCCAAAGTCCCAGAAAGATTTAGTTCTATGAAATCCAACGATATAATAGGTAAGTATTATTTACATCAATACAGAAGAAAGTTTTTATGCCACATGTGGTAGTTTGTATAAGTAATCATAATCAAGATAAAATAAAAATTCACTTATCTTGGAAAATGCCATTGCTACCTTTGTGTCTATAATATCCTAGCATATTTCCGAATAAAATCGTAATTCAACCTAATTTTATTGTCTAATTTTAGAACGAGAAAAATCGTAAAAAATCCTCAAAATTTAAATTTTACTTCTTGATTTATAGACTCGATGAAAAATTTTATGAAGTTGTAAGTAGAGATAAAATGATTTAAAACTTCCGGATGGTTAATAAACGAGATAATTTTCGCATCAGCCTTTTATAGCCTATTATTTTCGAACATAAAATAGTGTTTTATAGGCAAATTACGCTGTATTTTTATTGAATTAATTTAAATAATTATTGAAACAAATCAACTTGATACATAGTTGATAACATATGGAAAAGCCGCATTATTGACACCTGTTAAATCAAATTTTGCATACAAAAAGCAGGAAATACTAAAAAATAATGACAATTATGTATTCCGGTACATACAAATTCTAATTCTAATTTGTTTTTTTCGTCAGACCAAAAACGTAATTCATTTAACATTCATGTCGGCGCTAAAAGCAATAAAACTAATTAATTTAAATTACCGTGTGCGTTATCTTCGAATTATTGGCCCCCTTTTAAAACCATCTGCTTTATTTTACTGCCCGACTACGACCTACATTGTAAGTTATTTAACAATTATTTTTTTCCAATTTAAATTGTCCGTCAAATTTCTTATTTAAACTCACACACACTTGTTTCAATTGTCCGACAATTGTCGTGTTCGAAATAGCAGCAGGAAAGTTTGGCGCGTATCAGCATCAGCTGCTGGATCGCGTTGCACGGACTATACTGCTGTGCTGACTAGTGCTGTAACCAACCGGCAACGGCGCGGTTGAAGCTGGCATCGCCATGGAAACGGCCGGGCAGGATTCGAAAAACGACCTCTACTGTTTTTCCTGCTGAATTTTCCGCCGCTAGCGGCATCTGAGGTGCGAATCGGACTTGTTTTGCATGCTAATTTAGCAGGAATCTTGACGATGATACAATACTTTTACAATGGAGAGGAAATTTCTTGGATTTTTTTTTGAACTTTTGTGGGAAATATTAGATTTTTCTGGAATCTTCCATCGTGTTATATCAATCAAGGTTAAAGTACGGAAATTTTGAGTGGCATAAACTATGAAAATTTCTGCTCATTTGCAGTTATAATTCCAGAAATGATATACCGCTAAGAATGGAAAGAAAATTGGATCATTTGGAGTCAAAATTTTTGCAGGAAAAAATTTGAATTTCTAACGTTTTTTGAGGAAGGTAGAGGAAGGTTGCCGGATCTTGCAATTTTAAAACCATTATCATCATCTAATGTCATTTGTTGTGGTTTCCAACATTTATTTATTTTTCAAGTGTAGAATCAGTGGTAGAATGCTGCCAATGCCGTGCTAATTCTTGTTTGTAAATCCAGGTTCAAGGAAACACGATGGTTTGATTATGAAAAGTGTTTTTATTTTAATTTGAACGAAAAACGACTATTTACAACTATTTACAGAAAACAGGTAACTAATTCTGAAGAACATTGCATATTTAAATAAGTATATGGAACGTTCACTTTAACGCAAATAATTGGTTGATTAACAGCAATTAAACAATAGAAAACTGAAGAGAAAGAAAAGGTTGATTTCAGGCGCACGATCGGGCCATTTGGAGAAAAGAAAAAAGCGGTACAAAACAACCCTTGCAATTCGTTGCGATCTCTGACTAGAAGTGAGAACTCAAAGCAAACAAAAACTTCGACTTCGTAGGTACTCACCACCTCCAGTCTTGACCTACTTTTGCGATGCGTTTGGGCATACGCACGTTCCCTTGAAAATCGGGTAGACACAGAAGATTATCGTAAGAAAAGAAATATAAAGATATTTAACTTTAAATACAGCGGCGGCGGCAGCGGGTTGAAATGAAATTTCAACATACTCCCCCCCCTTGAAGCCTCAGCTTCAAGAAATGGAGAAAAGAAACGATTCGAAGGACCATCACTCATTACTCAATGGCAGTGGACACAGCTTCGCGATTGAACGAGTGAATTCGGAGTCTTTTGTTCTTAATTTTACAACACGAACATTATTATCTGTACTCGTAATGATTTCAGTTACCCGGGCTATTGGCCATTTCAAAGGAGGTACATTTTCTTCCTTTATGAGGACAAGGTCATTAACTTTAATGTTTGGTTTTTGGACTAGCCACTTTGGTTTATTCTGAAGTTGGTTTAAGTATTCAGTTGACCATCTTTTCCACAAGGCCTGTTGAACCTTTGTCATGTTTTTCCACATGGAAAGTCTATTTGTAGTGGTTTTTTTCTAAGGATCTTTCTGGAAAAGATGTTAAACTGGAGCCAATGAGAAAATGGCCTGGAGTGAGGACATCGAGGTCCAAAGGGTCGTTTGATAAGGCGCAAAGTGGCCTGGAATTGAGAATTGCCTTTATTTGAGCCAATACGGTACTTAAAACTTCGAAAGTAAAATGAGAGTCGCCAATTACTCTTTTGATGTGATATTTGGTACTTTTGATGGAGCTTTCCCACAAACCGCCCCAATGAGGAGAGCGAGGAGGGATGAAAACCCATTGCGTTTCTCTAAGTGATAGAAAATCCTTTATTTGTTTATTATGTGCATCATTTTTAAAGAAGTCGTAAAGTTCTTTAATTTCATTTCTTGAGCCTTTGAAGTTTGTGGCGTTATCGGTGAAAATTACGGACGGATTACCTCTACGGGACATAAAGCGCTTGAGTGTGCAAATGAAAGCATTCAGGGGCGGATGGGCTCAGGCGGGACACCGGGACGATTCCCGGTGGGCCGGAGAGCCAAGTGGGCCGGTTAAGGAAAAAAAAATACGATTACAAACAATACGCCGCAACTTGATAGCAAAAAAATCACTTAAGGCGTAATGCGACACCACTCTGCCAATTCAACAGAAAGCAGTCAACGTTTTTTGTCGTTTTCACAAGGCGTTGAGCTGCCATCTAATATTGGAAAATATTTTCATTAAAATTTAGACTTTTTCTGTAAATTTACCCTTTTTCTGTAAATTTATACTTTCTCTGTAAACTTACACTTTTTCTGTTCAATCAGACATTACCGAGGACACTACCAAACTTACCTATAATAACCCGCTAAGTTCGAAATTTTTGTCAGACATAATCAAAGTTACCAATAATAACTCGGTTAGTTTTTGTTAGTTTGCAATTGTAATCAGACATTACCGATAATAACCCGGTTTGTTTGCAATTTCAATAAGATGTTTTCAAACTTACTAATACTAACCCGGTTAGTTTGGGTAAGTTTGCAATTTCAATCGAACATAACCATTTTGTTTTCAAAATTTGTGTTAGTTTGAAATATATTGTTATCAAACATTACCAAACTCAAACCTACCGAGAATAACCCGGTTAGTTTGGGTTAGTTTTCAATTTTAATAAGACATTTTTAAACTTACCGATGTTCCTGGTTAGTTTGGGGTTTAGTTTGCTATTTCAATCAGACATTACCAATAATAACCCGGTTGCATCTAAACATTCTGGTATAGGATTCGGCACCTAGGCATATTTCATTGGTCCGTTTGAATTCGGACCAGCAATGGATGCGGAGTGCCGAAATCCGTACTTGAATGTTGAACGGTGCTGAGTCTCAGGTCAGAATGGTCCATTAGCAACAGCCATGTGGAGTGCCGAATCTAAGGTCAAAATGTTAAACAGTGCTGAGCATCAGGTCAGAATGTTGTAATGCGTTTGGCGTGATTTTTATATTAAATCAGCTGTCCACCCCCTTCGTGTTCCTCTTAGCTACAATTTTGCGGCGGATGCGGTCTATTTGGTCGTTGCTTCATGTGTTCTTGTGCGAGATGAGTTTGCCTAGATCATTTAAACACTTCCAATGTGGTGAACAAATTCACCAAGCCAACATTTTGAAGGAAAACGATATAAAGCAATGGATAGAAGAGTATAGTGATATAACATATACGAATGTGAAGTCAGCGAAGAATAATTATACCAGCAGTTTTAGAATAAAAAATTTAATTATGCAACGGCCAAAAAGGCAATGATTAGAAATAGTGCTTCTTACTTGGCTCCCTCTGTATATTTTGATTAGATATTTTTTCTACAATTGAGGAAAGGCCCCCCTGATAATAACACAAGATTTCATAAAAATCCGCTGAATTGAAAAAAATATATTGAGAGCCAAATTGGGTTCCAGATAAATTTGGTCCACAGTATATATTAATAGCTCATTGGATAGCTCTGTTTATGCTTATTCTAATGGTATAAGGTATAATACGTCTATTTCTAACAGTGTAAAAAAATTATACCTGTTTTAGTAATTAGTAGGTATTAGTATCTGACAAAAACAAAACATAATAAAGTTTGTTTGTTGATTTTGTGCCGCGCTAACGGAGTAACATTCCAACCTGCAGCTGGGCACTGTTTAACATTTTGACCTTAGATTCGACACTCTACATAGTACGTAGAGGTATATAATGTCTGCCCAGCGACTCTGTGTCTACGAGGCAACGGTAAGGGGAATGCAGTTGTAAAAAAAAAATGGCTGATTTCATTCATAAAATACCTAGCTGCGTGCGGAATTTTTTGGAAGTGTTATCGTATTGCAACTCCTACACGAAAATCGAAAATGACCAAAACCCCGCCACTGGGATATTTCAATATAAATCGATATTCCAAGATGGGAGGATACAATGACAGAAGCCCTGGCCAATAGCAAGACGTAAGGTGACGTTTAGCCCATTGACAACGACATGGTTCCTCGTGGCAACGGCCATCCTGCCAAAAACTCCACCAATCAGGTTCATCCAGGCCGGATGCTTGCCAAATTGTCAAAAACTGATGATATCTTTAGAAAATGTTTATTTTTTACAATGGACAAAATTGAAGAAATCAGTTATTAGAATAAGAATAGATCTAACAACCACGTTGAAATATTTAGCGTTTTATTGGTATCTATATTTTGTTATTAAAAAATGGATTTTCAAATGAACTATACCTCATGCCTAGTATTTTCGCTTTTTTATAATTAAACGTGACAACATGGCACATTTACGTCCGAATTCCTTCCGTAGACTCAGATCCGCTGGGCAAACAATACTATATACCATTCCGACCTGAAGTTCAGCACCGTTCAACATTCAAGTACGGATTTCGGCACTTTGCATTCATTGGCGGCCCGAATTCGAACGGACCAATGAAATATGCCTAGGTGCCGAATCCTATACCAGAATGTTTAGATGCAACCCGGTTAGTTTGGACATGCTTCAAAATTATTCATTTTCGAAAGAAGTTATTCAAAGTCAATATGTTCCAAATGGTTGATTTTTGAAATGAAAGCATTCGGAAAAAAAAAATCGCAATTTTTTTTTCGAAAAATAAACATAGACCTGTAATGTCTGAATAAAATTGCGAACTAACCCAAATTGCGGTACTTAAATTTAGTAATGTCTGATTAAACAGAAAAAGTGTAAACTAGAATAACATGAAAATATTTTACAATACCTATCAGCATGGCTCTACGCTTTCGTATTTTTGAGTAATATAAGGAGGTTTTTTTTTCTAAAAAAGGAGACTATTCAATACCCTATCCAGTGTTATTCACCTCCTGTGAGCGCGCGGGGCCGCTTGAGCAAAAACCGTCCCGGGCCGATTGAAAGTTGCCCATCCGCTCCTGAAAGCATTAGTGGAGAGATCTGATACTAGTTCGATATGTGTGGCCTTTGTGACCATACATACGAACACTGCAAAGTAGCATTTGAGAAGCTTGGCTTGCCGCAACGAGGATG